GCTCAGCTGCGGGGCTGGGCGGCGCCGGTACCGCGAGCCCGCTGCCGCCCTCGAGCTCCGGGCGGTTCTGCAGTGTTGGGGAGGCAATAGTGCTATAGCCGGTTGTGTCGCTTCAGGTGTTTGTGAGGGGAATGCGATCTGCAAACCTCCAAGGATGGAGATCGTGCAAAATAAATGATAACGTTTTCTCTGAGTATCTGGACAAAGGTTCCTTAGCGGTTTAGCCACTAGGTTAGGTTACATAGAGAAAAAGGGAAGTGATGTGAAGCCCTTGAAAGGAGAGCCCATGGGGTATGTGTGCACCAGGAGAAAGACTTTGAAGGGTCTCCGAGACCAGGCGGCCACGGCTGAAGCGGATAAACAGATACACCGCGATTTTGAGGGGCCACAGGGTCCTCATTTGCTTGGTTATCAGCTGAGAAAACTGATTGTGTGCTTAAGGGTTTTGTGGGGTTGAAATAAATCAACTAATTATCGAGATAGTCCAAAGCCCTGTCAAAATAAATTTCAGGTCATCTCCTGACTTCAGTGAGTTTGGTCTGTGGCCGTGTTCAGCATGGTTTCACGTGGAGAATGCAGCAGTTTAATAGCGAAGTTTAATAGCAATCTGTAGAAGCCAAAGCTGTGACTTGCGGAAAGTGCAAAGGTTCTGACTCGCTTTGGTCAAAGGGATCCGTTTGCTCAGGTGGCCGGTTGCCCTTGTTGGAGAAGGGCTGTGATCTGTGGCTGATGGTTGAAGTTTACAAAGTGCTACAGCTGTGTCTCCTAATGAAGCAAGAGCCTCCTTTTATGCAGACTGAGGATTGTTTTCCTGGGTTTGGATCTGCTGAATAAACAAGCCCTTTCCTGGAAGGGAAATGCCAGCACAGCGTAGTCTGTGACCATGTTCCCTCTGCTTAGCTATGGCTCAGAGGCACCAAGTGAAATATTCATTTACGATGAGTTGTGTAAGAAAGGCATCAGCCTGGCCGCTGAATGCCAACGGTGACTTGTAGATGGCAAAATCCCTCTCTCTGTCTGGGTTGAAATTGGACCATTTTTTGTACCACTAGCTCCATGCTTGCAGTTAGGTCACTGCCCAGCTGTGTCACAAAGTCCAGTCTGCATTTAGAAAAACATCTTACTATCTGCTTACCTCGCTGGAGACCCTAGCAGCTCTTTTGGGAAGTGGGCTACAGCTGAACGATGATGGCTGAATTCCTTCTGGGGGGAATGGCAAACAGCAGCAGGATATGGGGAAGGTTGTATTTGAGCAGTCTCTTCCCCGCATGGGATGTGCCGCTGCGCCGCGGGTTGCTGCGGCTCGTGGCCTGGGCTCGTCCGCGTTACGGTGCGATGTCACCAGCCGAAAGCGTGCAAGATTGGGTAGCTTGTCCAAGCTGGGAACGCCTCTGCTGTCATGGCCAGGACTGTGTGTTCGCACTGCAATTTAAGTGGAAAAGTGGCAATAAACTCTGACTGTCAGTGCAAAGTGGGAGCTGTTTTTCCAAAAACAAGAGTTTTTCTCTCTTAGTGAGCAGCCTCCGACTTATTTACATTGTAAATGATTAATCTTGAAGATTTGATTTATAAACTAACATTGGAGGCCTACAGCGACTTTGTTCTGATATCCTTTAAATCATCAGGAACGGTCAGAAAAATCGCTGACACACAGCAGTGGCTCTCAGTGTAGCACATAATGCCCTGTAAGCTGATAAAAAACCAGCTACTGTTGATAAAGTTGTTGGCAATGATACTGCATGTGAAAACCCTGCAGTATGCGAGTTCCAAGTGGGCACTTCTTTAAATTACCAAAATCCTAGTCATCAGCAGCAGTTTATGTGCTTTGCTTTAATTAGGGATCAAGGAGCTGGTTCAAGTCTCTTGGTTTTGCTGGGTTGCCAAAAGCAGAAGCTGTTGCGCTGAGTCCCACAAGAGGCTGGGAGAAGCCAGCGGAAGGCAGGAGCTGTGAGTGGGATCGCGCTCCAGCTGGGAATAGCCCAGTCCCCCGGTGCAGCGGGAATTCCCAGGGGATGCTTGGCAGTGCTGCGTGTTCCGCGGCAGCCTGTCGCTGTGCTGCTAAGTAGCAGAGTAGAGAGTGGCTCTTCTGGCTTCTTTCCACCAGTTAATCTGAGCATGTGTCTTTATTAATTTCTTATTTTTCCTAATGGGGAAAAAAGAAGAGGTGGCTCCAGCGACAGCAGTTTATTTTTGTGACTAGAGCGCTAGGAGCTGCGCAGAGGCGCAGACGCTGCGAAGCGCTCGTGGCCGCGGCGGGTGCCGCTGCTCTCGCGCCTGGGCCAGGCCGGCGGCGGCCCCCGTTGGGATGCGCTCTGCCCTCCTCGCGTGGGAGCCTTCCTGGAGCCTCGGAAGCCTCCCTGCGAACCGGGAACCCGGGCGCTGGCTCTGGGGCTCTGGATCGCCGCTTGTCCTGGGGGAGGCGGCCTCTCCGCAGCCCCGGGCGCTTCGCAGCGCTCCAGAAAGGCTCTGCGCTCAGAGCGCTCCGCGCGTGGGAGCCAGGGCCGGCTGCGCGGGACCGGGGAGGTCTCATCTGCTCCCAGTGAAACCCGCTGGTTAATAAAAGGTGGATGTAACCTGGGAGGTGTATTCCCTTTCCCCCCTCAACTCTGTAGTGTTGTGCTCTTTGAAATTCTAGGCAGGTGAAAAGGAGAGGACTTTGGGACTCACTTTTTGCTTTTAGAAATTTAAAAAGTGTAATCTTTAATGAGAAGTATAATTATATTCTCTGAAAGTAAACAAGATAACACTTATGGAGGGGAAAAGTTTTTTTTTTAATGAAAAAAATACAATTAAGATAGGATGCTGCTGTTTCCCAGTGACTCAGCAGCAGCAGTCTGGAACTGTGGAAGAATTTAAGGAGCTGCCCTCATTCAAATCTGTCTTTACAGAGAATCAATTTAGGGAACTCAGCTGAGATGTAGGTATAAGCGAAAGAAGATATTGATATAATAAATAAACCAGGAACAAGCCATGTGTGTTCCAGGTTCGTCAAGCCAGGCAACGGGTGTCCTTTCCCAGATAGCTTCCCTTGGAGGGAGGCTCTCCAGGAGGCAGAGGCTGCAATATTCCCAATATTCCATGGGGCTAAGGAGGCGCCCACGTCTGTGTTGCAGAACTGCTGGGTCGCTCTGGATCACTGGGTGTCATTTTCCCGTTACAACTCGTAAGCAGCATTCTTGATTTTATCTCCAGGCGTAACTCGAGTCAGCAGAGACGGAAAGGAAACAGGAGCCGGGCTGCAAGGAGGTAACGCGAGCGGCTGGTGCCGGTGCCCTCCTCGCAGCGCGGCTCGCGCGGGGCCTGCGCCCGGCGGCCTGTGGGGTTTGAACAAAAGGGCTGCTTTCCCCGGAGGATAAAACTGGAAAATGCCTCCCCGTCCTTTGGAGCAGTGAATGAGTCTGAGCCCTTGATTCCCACGGGGTGCTCCAGAGGGATTTGGTCCAAGCATAGTGCAGGTATGACCCAAGGCCAGTCTGCTGGTCTGCCGAAACAAGCAGCAGCGCCCACAGAGGCTGCAGCTCCAGCCCTGCTCCGTTCCTACCTGAACTGCAGCCCAGGCACGGGGCGCCCGTCCTGGCAGGGGCCTCTGGCTCTGCCAAAGTCCAGTGGATTCTGCTAAGTTATTTCCAGTGGTTTCAGTGGGTTTTGGCTCAGGCCCAAAATATATATATATATTTTTTCCTCCAAAACCCCTTGGAATTTTATTCAGCATTTTGAGGAACAATCTGCTCATAATTAAAATGAGAAAATACATCTACAGAAAGAATTCAATGGAAGTACGTTAGTTCTATCGCTGGGGTCAGATGGGAGTTGTATTTTAACTAGTTATATGGTCCATGAACTATTAGACAGAAGGGAATGAGACAAAGGCATTAGATTAAGTTCTGGGCTATACAATTGCCAGGTGATACTGTAAATCAATACTCAAAACAACTGCTGTAATTTGGCCACTTCAAATGCAAACACAAACAAAGGATTGAGAAAGTAAAGCAGGACCGTTGCTATGGTATCAGAGTTTGTTTAATGAGCAGAACAGGGTAAACGAATCATCTGCTTAAAGTTTAATTTATTGTTGGTGGACTACCTGTGAGATTATTGCGAAAGCCCAAATAAACTTCCAGTAAGTCTGTCATCACTCCCCCTGTTTTGTTGTTCTTTCTTTTGTTTATGGTAACTGTCCAGCAATAGAAATTTAACCTGAGTTATCCCATTGAAACATACACAACAGAGCTGCAGTGGCATTTAAAGCAAAAGGAAACAAAAGAGATCTGTCATTGTGTATTTGAAATTTAGCCAATGGGTTAATATGATGGTATTATGCAATATATATGATTGTATCAATTTTGCAAAATTGAGTTGATTTAGAATATTAAAAATTAAGCCTACTGTTACCTATGTTATTCTTAGTCCTGTTTTCCAGAGACAGAAGTAAGATCTTTATTTTACTTGTGGTAAGAACTATATGGAAATTTATCTGCTACTTTGGATGCTTAAATTTTTGTGTTCAACTCGTGTATTTCGGGCTGGACTCTTTTGGAAGCTCTGATCTTTGGTAGCTGCAATGATTTAGCGCTAGTGGCTGTGGGGATGTGCGGCAGAGAGGGGGCCCCTGGGCTCTCCAGGCCTCCGTGCTTGTTGATCTTGCTGTTCTTCACCAACAAGCAGAAAGAGAGATGCAATTTGTTAGCTCTGAAATATGAGGTGTGTGCATCAGAGAGAACCTCTAGCACGTTGACATGGGAACTAGAAAAAAGCAGAGAGCCTGGGCTTGATTTTGGGCCCATTTCCATCGCTCTCAACGTGGGTGGGACTTGAGCACCCTTAAATTAGGGACCTAAAAGGGAAGACTTAAGGCAGAAAGTGGCCTAGCCCCACGATCCGGCACTGCAACAGCATGTGCCGCAAAGTCTTACAGGTTAAACGACGTGTTAGAGCACTCGTGGTAGCAGGTCTCTGTGGAGCTTGGAGAGCCCTTTCCAGCAGAGACTCTGGGCCCGTAGTTTGGCGCTGGGCAGGCGGGCCGGGCCGGCCGAGGGCCGGGGAAGGCGCCGGGGCCGTTGGCGGCAGGATGCGGCGCCGG